TTGAGGTGAATAGGGTGCGGTACGTTCGTGTACTATACCCACACTAGCGCAAAAGTCACCAATTGGTGCTTCATACTCACCACCTCGATCACTCCTAACCGTCTTAATCCTTCGATTAAGTTGGTTTTCCACTTCATTCTTATAAAGAATGAATTTATCGATTGCTTCATGTTTATTTTTTAATAAATAAATGTAGCTATAGCGAGTGCTATCGTCGATAAAGGTAATAAAATATTTATTACCGCCGCGTGTTTGTATTGATTTAAAATCACAAACGTCACTATGAATTAATTCAAGTGGTTCCGTTTTTCTTTCAACCGATTTGAAAGACGTTTTCGTTAGTTTTGCCTCTACACAAACTTCACATTTGTGCTTCACATCAATTGTGAATTTAGGAATGTGCTCCATGTTAATTAATCTACGTATAGAATTAAAATTAACATGTCCTAGTCTACCATGCCACACATTAGAAGACTCAAGCAAGTAAGCAGAAGGGATTTTATTATTATTATTAATAATAGTCATTACATTGAGCTTAAAAAGCCCATCACATGTATATCCCTTGCCCACATACATTCCCGATTTGGACAAAACCAGTTTGTTCAACTCAAAAACCATGCGGAAGCCATGCTTGTTCAACAACGAACCGGAAATCAGTTTTTTGCGTATTTCCGGAACGAACAAAACTTGGTTTAGAGTCAGCTCCTTGCCCGAAGTCATCTTCAGGACCACCTTGCCCACGCCTTCAACCGCGGAATGAGCCGAGTTACCCATCCACACTTTCTCACCATTTGATGGCTCAAAAGTTGTGAATAATTCCCGGTTTGAGCAAATGTGCCGGGTTGCACCGGTGTCCACAAACCACTCCTTGGAATTGGATCCAACGAGGTTGACTTCCGTAACCACAGCCGCTAGGATGATGTCTTCATCCTTTTGCCCACCTTGCACCAAATTGACTTGGGAGTCTTTCTTCTTCCGTGGTGCCTTGCAATCCGAGGACTTGTGTCCATTCTTGTTGCAATTGAAGCATTTTCCATTGAACTTCGTCTTGGAAACGCCTCCCTTGGGACCGAGATTGCTCTTCCCATTATTTTTATTTTTGGAGCCTTTTGCATGCTCCACCACGTTGGTCTTGGCGCCATGAACAATTGGGAGTTTCCCATCATTCTTCCGGTTATCCTCTTCAATCCGCAGACGGAGGATCAATTGCTCCAAGTTCATTTCCTTTCGCTTGTGCTTAAGGTAGTTCTTGAAATCCTTCCAAGCCGGCGGCAATAAATGAATAATTGACGCCACTTGGAAAGACTCACTAACTGTCATTCCTTCATCTCGAATTTCGTTGAAGATCATTTGCATCTCCTCAACTTGACTCAAGACCGTCTTCGAATCCACCATTTTAAAGTCAAGGAATCGACCAACAACAAATTTCTTTGCGCCGACATCCTCGCTTTTATATTTGTGGTCCAAAGCATTCCATAGCTCCTTAGCCGTAGCTAATTTTCTATACACGTCGTACAAAGCATCATGCAGCCCGTTCAACACGTAGTTTCGGCAAAGGAAGTCAGAATGCTTCCAAGCTTCAACCGCGTTGAAAGATTGCGCATCCACCTCACCCCCGGTTGCTACCGGCGCATCTTCGGTCAAGAATCTAGCAAGACCGAGAGTAGTGAGGTAAAATAGCATCTTTTGCTGTCACCTCTTGAAGTTTAACCCGTTGAATTTCTCGGGTTTCTCCACAGAGTTGCTTGGCACGGTCACCATAGGGATAGCCCTTTGGTTGGCCAAAGCAGATGCACCGCATTGTGAACTATTGTTCACCGGTGCTCCGCTTTCAGAGTGATTGTCGTTCAGAACATTCTGCCCAACACCAATCTCGTTTTCTTGAGAAGTCATTTTCGTTCTTTAACGTTTTTCCGAAAACACAAAAATTAAGTTCGTTCACCAAAGTGACAAACTACGTTTTTAGATTGTTTACCGCAGTACAACAATCAAGAAATACGTTTTAAGATTGTATCCGTATGATACAAGCTCAAGAAATACGTTTTAAGATTGTTGGGTGTGTTTCGGAAAATAAAGAAAATTAATTAAAATAAATTAATTAAATAAAATGACTAGAGAAAAAACAAGAAAGGAGATGAAGCAGAATTAGCCAAAGCTCGTGCTACGCACGATTTCCTTAAAACGTATTTGTTGCCTCCCACGGTGCTAGGAGCGTTGCAACAATCGTTTCCCAGGATACGATGACTACGAACTAATGTTTGAGCACACAAACAAGAGTTCCAGCGAACGAGAACCGAGTATGAACACAGAGGAATTTTTGGGAATAGCTGGAAGAGTTTTTAGCTCAAGAAAACGTGAGGAAAGTGTTGTGCGTTGTCAACCGTGTGTTTGTTGCAAAGCACCTGCCAGCTATTTATAGGAGGATTTGTTGTGTGTTAAATGGGGTGTTAATGGACCTGAACGTTGGACATCAATGACCAGTCCGTTGGGCATTGAATCGTCCATAAACTGTCCATTTAACGCTGCATTAAAAGAGAAGAACGTTGGGCATTAATTGTTGTAACGGAAGAAATGCGTGACAGAAGACCCCAACAGAATACCCCTTGAAGGGGTTCTGTTCGAAGCCAACAGAACCCCCCTTGGAGGGTTTCTGTTCGAGGCCTTCTGTCCGAAGCCAACAGAACCCCCCTTGGAGGGTTTCTGTTCGAGGCCTTCTGTCCGGAGCACTTCTGGGAAAAAAACAAAAATTAACCGTATCTCTTGAGAGATAGATTTTTGGACGGCATTCGTGTCCGCAGGTCGCCCGCGCACACGAGTCGGGGTTTTTCTTCTCCGTTTCGGGATTTGATCGGCACCCCCCCCCCTGCGCGTAAGAGAGAGTCTTTCCCTTTAGGAATCTTAACTCCTTAAAAGAGGCTTCCCTTTATAAGGGGGTGAAAATCTCTTGAGTTTTTCGGTGTGGGATAAAACACACTAGAAACTCATCATTTTCCCAGTTTTTCCATTTCAACGAGCGAACTTCGAGAATCAATTTCTCATTCACCCGTTATCCGTTTTGAGCGTACCATATATCGAATTGTAGCCCTTAACAAGGACAATCCGAAACCACTTTGACCCAACCCAAATCGGAAGTGGACCCCACTCAAATAATTGCCCCAAAATGACCATTTAATGCAATTTTTAACACATTTTTCCAACAGTTTCATCCTCAAAGGTCAATAGGATAGGAGGAGGGGTCTAAAGCCTTATGTAGTGTTTAATTGTTTTATAGCTTTTCGGTGTTGACAAATACTCCAACACGCTCCTATAGTCTGAATCAACCTGAATGAGACTGGACAATATCGAAGTGTATAAATGAGTCAAGCAAACATTTCGCAAGCTACCCTCAATCATGAGTGCTAAAGAAGAAGTCAAACCACAATCAGACTTGACTCTGATACCATGTTCAGATTTGGAGTTTCATCCAAATAGGTCAACCTGATACGAGCAGTAACTCAAAACCTTATGTAATGTTTTATTGTTGTATAGCTTTCCAGTATGAGACACATACTTTAACATTGAGCCACAAATAACTAGTTAAATATGAAGAAATAATTCTCCAAATAGATGTAAAATATGAGAGAAATGTAAGAATAGAGTAGGCTTTTAAAATTCCTAAAATAAAAGTTTTTGTTTTGTGATTGTACAAGAATACCCTGTAGGGTATTAGCCTTGCCTGTGCCACAAAGCGTTGCCGTCACAAGTTAACATATAAATAAAATCATAAACACATACTATCATCTGCTCTTTAGAAGTTGCAACAACTTGACTTTCAAATTTACTAACGCATAAATTTGACTGTAATTATATTTAAATACGTATTATTGAACATTATAAAAAGTTAACATTTTGAAAATTTACAATAGTAGAAATTTCATCACATTTTATACATAGTAGTTTGATTATATATATTATTAGAATTGAAAATTGTAGTCAAAGTAATAGAAATTTAATCCATATTGTGTGATGAATAATGCACAAAATTCTTAACAATTAACGAAATAACAATTATAGAAATTTTCAAATAACGAAAAAAGTAACAATTAACAACTAACAAATAGTTAAGCAGATTCAACAAGTTATGTGAAATAAGTCCTGAGTAGGTCTTGGGAGATGGCTAACTAAACAACAATCATTAATGATGTTAATCAAAATGTTTCTGGAAACATCAATGTAAATCCAATAAGCAATTTTCCATTAAATCATCTACTAAAAAGGACATATGTGGACAGTTATTTAGGAAGGGGATCAAACAAGAAATCGGCACTAGCACTATGAAGATTCTAAATAAAAGTCGTTTAACATTATTACTCAATATGAAAAGAAAAAATTTATTGTTACACACTTTGTGTACACACTCTTACACACTCATGTTTGTGAAAAACGTATTTGACCCTACGTTTTGTCTGGGACAGACAAAAAAATGTTTCCACAAACATGAGTGTGTAAGAGTGTGCACACAAAGTGTGTACCCCAAGTCTGATTCATATGAAAACACCAACAACCATCATAAAAGAACGGCCCAACATTTTGGAACTTGTAAAATTATTGTTTTTTTTTTCTTTTTCTTTGTAAAATTATTGATTTATAAAAAAAGTTTGTAACAAGTGCTCATAGGTAAACAATTTATATTTTGACCTGTAGACATTTTCACTATTAGGATAATTTCATTATTTTATACTCCCCCCATCTAACTAACAACGGGACAAGAGGGAGTAAATATCAACAAAAAATGATTTATATGATTGATATTGAATTGATAAAGTAAGAATAAAGTTGATATCCTATTGTTGGCCAATTCAATATTCAATATTTAATATTTACATATTAAATATCAACCACAAGCTACCAGTAAGAAAGGGGGAGTAATATTTACATATTCAGAAACTACATTAAAATCTCTTCAAAGTTGCAAACTTCAAATTAGAATATAATTAAAAATTGATATCCTTATTAAGCGAATAAAATGAAACTGTTCGACAAAAAATAGTCAAATTTCTTATTACTCGAAATCGCATTAAGCGAACAACCAAACAAGTAAACAAACTTAAGAAAAAAAGGACACCCCATCCATAATCTCAATCCGACAGATAGAAAGTGAGACTCTGTCCTCGATAATTGCAAAGACCTTATTTAGCATAATCATCCCTTAACGTAGTTGTCGGGATTCGACCCCGGCGATAAGTGACATAAACATAGTAAACAACCTTAAGAAAGGTGGAGTTGGAAGACGACTAGCTCATCATTATTTGTCAAAACTGGAATGAGCGGATAACAGTGACCAATCCACGTTCAGTAAAGTAGCTCAGCCAAATCCGCCAATCACAATCTCTCCCCTTTCTCTCTCCTACCCATTTCAAACTCGAAACGCAATAAAATATCTCAAGAAAGAAGAGGGTATACGGATTGAAGCAAAACAGAGAAAGAAAAAGGCGTGTACAGCAAGGCGGAGTAGTATTTTGGAATCTCTTTTCTCACCTGCCAACTTCCATTTTTGTATACTTTTATGCCCCCCCTTCCCTCACTATCTTTTGTCTTCTCTCTTTCAAAACTTTCTTCAATCGGACGTTTCTGTTTGTCTTTTAAAGAAATAAATAAAAAAGATCTGGAAAAGACTGGCCTGGCCTGTCAGTTTCATTTTCCATGACCAGTACGCTTTGCCAGTCGTTACAGAGAGAGAAAGCTCAACCATTGCGGAGGAAGAATGCTCATGGCCTATTTCTCCTTGCTGTTTAAGCTTCTGTTGGAAGCTGGGTGCTGATCAACGCTTTTTTCTTGTGTAAATTCGAATAAAAATCGATTCTTTTTCCATATATTTGTGTGTAGAGACAGGAAGTTACGATTTGATAAAGAATATGGGCTTTTCTCCACTTTTTTGCTGCGTCAAGGGTTCGGGGTATGTCCTCTTCTTGAATTTGTGCTTTTCCCTTATTTGTTTCAGTCTTACACTCTTACTCTCGCATCATTTTATCCTTGTTGATCCGCTATGGTTGATGCTATTATTGATTTTCAGAGTGGCTGCTTAGATTTTGTCTAAAAGTGACCAATTAACCATCCTTGCCATCCTACTTTTGATCTCTAATTTTATGTATAAAAGTTCTGTTTTGCTGTACAGTGGAAAATCTGGGACAGTTTCTTAATATGTAATGTTAATTATTAGTACTAATTTAAATATTATGGAACTAGAGTTAACTCTATCTTTGGTCAAGTGTTGTCATCCGATAGGAGAATACTAATATAAAACGCAGGCTGTCTTACAAGTAGAACAGAGACATAGCATAATTCTTCAAATATGATTTTCATTGTTTTCTCATTCGATTTTTAGGAATGAATGAGTTCCATCTCTAGAAAAAATAGACATTTCTGATCTGTTTACGCACATGAATCATGTTTTGCTCCACTGTAACATGTTTTATTTTAGTTATACAACAAGTTTGTTGAATGGGAAGGAATGTTATGTACTTTTCTTTATAGAATGTTGCATTATACAGGAAGGACAAGTCAAAGAAGAAGCCAATGTGGCGGGTTTTTTCTCTGAAGGAATTGCAATCAGCTACCAATAATTTTAACTATGACAACAAGCTGGGAGAAGGCGGATTTGGTAGTGTTTATTGGGGTCAGCTCTGGGATGGATCACAAGTGAGTCATCAAAATGTCCTCCCATATATCTATCTATTGAGTTTGATATATCTTGCATTACAGTTTTCGCTATTCAGGTAGTTGCTTATTATGCTATTAATGATGAAAATTATGTTCCCTGTCCCTGCTACCATGCATACTGGATTGTGGATCTTGAAAAGGGCAATCTCTTAATGTGCGAATTTTTAATTAGGTTGTTTTCAAACACAACCACTGAGACATATTTAGATGGGTTTTGATCATAAATAGTTAGCGGATTCACTTCTTACTAATGGAACTTATTGACCTTCATGTGAAGTGAAGTCCCCAGTATTCCATTAGTCCAAACAAGATTTACGCTTTAGTTAAACAATGATGATTTCAAGCTATACCATACTAATTTCTATGCACTGAAGTACTTTGATATTCTCATTTTGATTATTATTTTCATTTTTCAATACGCTACTAATTTTGTACACAAATGTGTTAGTGCCATTTCTCATTTTGTAGGTTTCTTTGCTGTATACTTTCTCTTAAAAGTGAACTAGTTTCTATGTCATTAGTTTTACTTGAATGCTAACACCTTTTAGCTGACTTTGGTAAGTAGGGAGTAAATATGTCATATTTAAAAGCGAAAAACTGAAAAGAAGTTCAGTTTGAAGAACAAATAGTCACTGTGTGCAAAAGAATTTTCCTCTGCTGTGACTTTGCCTGATATCAGAAATGGTAGAGGCTGTAGTAATTTATAAACTAAATATAACTTAAAGTAATTAAAGAGAAATAATTATTAGGAGAATGTTTTGACCTTTGGTTAATATGTTGAACTAAGTAGTACCTGGATAACTTGATGTACTAGCCAAAAACGGATGTAACACATATTGGCAGTTTATAAAGAAGCAGACAAGAAAAGATGTACTGAACCAATGATGACAAGTATGTTCAAGTTGATGGCTTTGAAATGGATAAGCTCAGTTTTTGACGAATTTCAAAATTTAATTACATATTTAATTTGTTTTTCTCTGTTCTTGCTGATGTTTTTTTAATACATTGTATATTTTGCTTGCATGACACTGCATAGATAAACCCCTTTTTCAATTTTTTCCCATGAATTTTTAGTGTCCACCGAAATAGTTAACATATAGATATCAGGTTAGTGACCCCTATTGGTTGCGATTAAGGTGTTGTTGATGATGAACAATAAAATTGAACACAACTCCGAGTACTCCGCATATACATAGTCTCTGTTTCAAGATTTTTCCAAAATAGAGTAAAAACAAGTTTAATATGAAAATTAGATGCACCACAAAAACATTTATAAAGTATAATTATATGTATGTGTATACATGCATGTATTTTCCAAATGGAGGTTTTCATTATCTAAATTTAATTATTTCGTTACTTAATAACAGATTGCAAAGTTGTCTACGGCTAATTTCTCTAGTGGATGTTCTAAAGTTTCCAACTTTTATGTCCTTGTATATAATTTTGTTTTTTGGATTTCTTTTTTGCTTGCTCTGTAAGTTTTGTCTACTAATACTGATGAAGGTTAACTGGACTTTTTTTCACTGGTGAACACTTGGACATAATGTGAGAGGAGGGACCCTACTTCTAACGAGCATAGTTTATGCAGATTGCAGTCAAAAGGCTAAAGGTTTGGAGTGAAAAAGCAGAAATAGAATTTTCAGTTGAGGTTGAAATACTAGCCCGTGTACGACACAAGAATCTGCTGAACTTACGGGGCTATTGTGCTGAAGGGCAAGAACGTCTGATTGTTTGCGATTATATGCCGAACCTAAGCTTACTTTCTCATCTTCATGGGCAGCATTCAACTGAAATCCTTCTTGATTGGAAGAAAAGAATGAACATTGCCATTGGTTCTGCCGAGGGGATTGCGTAAGTTTCATATTCCTCACTAACCAAACAGGTCTTCACTCCCAACTAAATTAGGCCAATCATCATCATCATCATTACTACTCCAGTGCCGCAACGGCTCCCACCAAAAATATCTTACCTCATACTTGTACAAAACTGTTAAACATCTGACACGGGACATGGATACATGAGTCAAAGAGAACTCAAAGGGAACCCTATATTGCGAGGTGCCAAATGAACAAAAAACCAAAACCAAACTGGACTGTAATGTCATATTTAATTAGGTCTATCTCACCCTAAGATGATTCTAGGTGAGGTTTACTTCTTAATTATTTTAGAAATAAATCTGGTAAGTATCCTTAATCTGTCACTTACTCTCCGATCTTCGAACCCATTTTGTAAGTCTTAAAATAGATTGTGTAGCTATATTTGCTAAAGTTGTGGTTGAATGTTCTGAACTTCTTCGTTTGTCAAGTAATATCAAGAAAATTAAAAATGAAGGTAGAATTTTATTCTCTTTTATTGCATCTAAAAAAGCAACCGTAGCACAACATTCTTTCATTTCAGCCGATTTGGCCAACACAGTGAAATAAATAAGTGTTTGGTGAAAGTATTGATTGATAAGATGACAAAGGTTTACCAAACAAGCTCTTATAGTCTCAGTAAACATATATATCCCCATCTCATTATGTATGTACTCCAGGTATCTGCATCACCATGCAACACCGCACATTATCCATAGAGATATTAAAGCTAGCAATGTCTTGTTGGACTCTGATTTCTGTGCACAAGTTGCAGATTTTGGGTTTGCAAAGCTCATGCCTGATGGGACAACACATGTCACTACTAGAGTAAAGGGTACGCTTGGTTATCTTGCCCCGGAATATGCAATGCTAGGAAAGGCCTCAGAAAGCTGTGATGTGTACAGCTTTGGCATTCTTTTGCTAGAGATTGCTACTGGCAAGAAACCGATAGAGAAGGTCAGTGAAACTTTCAAGTCCCCAATCACAGGTTGGGTGCTGCCTTTGGCTTGTGAAGGGAAATTCAGCGAAATTGCAGACCCAAGGCTTAATGGAAACTTCGTGGAGGAAGAACTGAAAAGAGTTGTTTATATTGCGCTCGTTTGTGCTCATTCTCAACCAGAGAAGAGACCGACAATGCTTGAGGTGGTTGATCTCCTCAAAGGCGACTCTGAGGAGAAGTTTGCTGCTATAGAGAATGATGAAATGTTTAAAAAAACTCAGGCTGTCAGTCACAAGAATGAATTTTCTGAACCGGAAGACAGCTCAGAGTTCTTCTCGGAAGAAAAGGTATCGAAGCAAGAAATTGAGACGGTTCAAATTGGCCCTGAAGTGTGAACTAATTCAAACTGCTTTGAGGATCATTGTAGAGATGCTTCTTGGTTTATTTTCCGCAGAATGCTGAAAGTTTAAGGCAGCCTGTGGGATACATTGGCTTCGGAATTTATGGATGATTTGAGTGTGTTGTGGGAGTGTGAATATCTACGTGATATGCAATTTTTTTGATTTGTTTATCTTTGAACTCTGGATTGAACACTAAAATGTACAAGCTTTCTGTCATTTGGATAATTAAAAAGCGAGTATCTTTCTATTCTTTGTTGGGGAGTATTTTTTCCAAGCTAACTTTGTCTTTAACTTTTCCCTTTTAATGTATTTTTCTAATAAGTGAATGATATCTGATAGAAGCACAATTTGACTGCCAGAAAATAACTATACGGAGTTTAGAGAGCAAAAATACCCAAAACAACCACAAATCATTAAATCAATATATATGTGTGTGAATGAAAGGTGGAGATTAGAAGTTCTTATATATATATTTGTGTTATCATCAAATCGTATACTCCGTATTTAATAATGATAATTTTTTTTTAAAGAAATAATGAGTACTTAGTTAAATAATGATTGAAATACTACTTGTATAATTCCTTTTTTTAAAGCACTTGTAGAATTACTTATTAAGTTACAAAACTACAAAAGTATTACCCAGAATAAAAATATGAGTACTCTTTTTTTTGTTATACATGTATTAGCAAACTATATATTGAATCAGTTTTCAAAATTTTCAATTGCACCCTTAAATTAGTGTAGTATCCAAAGAATTAAAAAAACAAGTGGTATATGGTCATGAAATTCAACTACATCACACAAGTTTTGGTACTGATGATTAATTAATTGAATATCCTCGGATTATATAAGTTGAAAACTTGAAATGAAAGATTGTAGATCCAAATTTATGAACAAATCATATATAGAGTCTCTGCGATGAGAGGTTACTATGCTAAAAATGCATAGGGCCTCTGCAAGTACCGGGGACAGAGCCTCACTCTCTATCTGTCAGATTGTGATTGTAATCCAATTTACATCCTCCCAACGTATCGTTCGATCGGGTTTGGAGATCCTCAGGGATGAGGCGTCATCCTTTTTTTAGATAGAGAGAGTAATATTTATGCCTCTTTATTACAGAGTAATACATTTTCCAATTTTGATGGTACATTTACGTTATGTATTTATTATTATTATCTATATCATATGTATGGGTGTTTTAATCACAGTTCATTATCTGTGAGACTGTGACAAAGAATCAAATCTCTTGCCATTTAATTGGAGAGATTTCTTAAACGGAAGTACAAGCAAATAAAACCTTCAATTTGTATTGGAAATTAGTTAGAGAAGCAAATAGAGTATACTTTCATTAGGTAGAGATGGATAAAATAATGATTTTGATGGTTGTTTTGGGAAGCGTGATACAGTACGGCGGAGCTCAAACGGTTCATTTGGTCGGAGACAATATCCGTTGGTCGATACCTCCCTTCGCCGCTGCATATTCAAACTGGACTTCCTGCAACATCTTCAAAGTTGGTGACATCTTAGGTAATTCTTCTTACATTTTACCTTTTCAAATCTTTAATCTCTTGATCCAAAATGGATGGATGGTCGCGATATTCTTAAGTTTTTCCTTGTAAACTTCACTTTCTTCTCATTTTTTGTATGTCTTACTTTTCATTTTGTCCATAAAATTTTCCATCATAATTTACTTTCGAGTAATAACAGAAACCGAAAAGTCTTCGTCAGCGTGAGACTTTCCACTAGAAAAGTACTTTTTTTATTACACAAAAAACACTTACTTTACCAAACACTATCAACTTTTACTTTTCAAAATCACTTTTTTCTCAAACACAATTTTTACTATTATTCATTTTTTTTTCAAAATCACTTCAAAAAGTGTTTTTTTAAGAAAAAACATTTGGCAATGACATCTGCTAGTTATATGAAAACCTAGGATTGATATGAAATAAGTGACATGAAAATCTGTCAATGAAATCTGTTAGTTACTCCCTCTGGTTCCTATTAAAGTTCCCAGTTTGACTTCACACAGATTAAGAAAATAAATTTGACTTTACTGTGGAGTGCACTGTTTGACACTGTTTGGACACTGTTTGACACTGTTTGGCACTGTTTTGCAGTGTTTTATTTCCTATAATAGAAGTGTGAACTTAAATAAGGGACATCCCTAAAAGGAAAGTGAGAACTTTAATACGAACCGGAGGGAGTATATGCAAAACCTAGGATTGGTATGAAAATCTAGTGTCATCATGTTTTTCAAATATATGACCTTTGTCAATCCAATTGTTAAAAATAAAATAAGAATGTCACTTTTTGTACATTATCCACTTCTTAATATACTACATAATGTTTAGGTCAAAACTTCTTCTTCAATTGAGAGTATTTTTTTATAATGACATTATTGACATAGTAATATAAAACAAGATAAGATTAGAGGATTGTTTCGAAAAAGTAAAGTATCTTAATTTTCTAAAGTGCGACATATAATTACATTTTTTAAAGTTGCCACAGATGATCTATTTTGTACATTATCCACATCTTAATATACTACATAATGTTTAGGTCAAAACTTCTTTTTCAATTGAGAATATTTTTTTAGAATGACATTATTGACAGTAATATAAAACAGGATAAGATTAGGGGATTGTTCCGAAAAAGTAAAAGTGTCTTAATTTTCTAAAGTGCCACATATAATCCATGTTTTTAAAGTTGACACAGAATCCATATAAGAGCTCTTTTCTCTTTAATTTTTAAAGTATATGGTACTATATGCTACTGGCCTACTTGATCATAAACGTGAGTGCTAAGCTAGTAAGCTAGGTGTTGTCTTTATAAAACCTCAATTACGTATAACAGTATACTATCCTTCGTTCTTTAATTCATGCAACGGTTTGACTTTCACGTTTTTCAACGCACAACTTTGACTTTAATTATATTTAATTATGTATTAGTAAACATTATAAAAAGTTAATATTTTGGAAATTCACAGTGATATGAATTCAATAACATTTTATACGTAATAATTTGATTATGTATGTTAGTAGAAAAGTGTGGTCGAAGTAAGGTCTGTGAATAGTGCAAAAATCACAATGTTGCAAGAATTAAAGAACGGAGGAAGTATTTCATTTCCAAAAAAATGAAAAATAACTCTGTGTACTTTTGTAATACCTCCATCCCAAATTTTTTGTAATTTTTTTAAACAATTTCATTTTATTCACTTAATTAAGATGTTAAATTTTAATTATATACCAATTTGGATTATGCGATTTTGTAGAGATTTTGATGTCGTTTCTGAATATGTAAATTTTAATTATTACTTTGTATATTTGAATTAATTATCAATAGTGATGATTTAATTTTAACGACTAAAAAATGTTAACTTTAGTTTCCGCTTTTACTGACAAATAATACGCTATCCCTCTAAAAAGTGGAAATATTAAAAAGCATATTGACCTTTTATCAATTTGTTATATTTATGTGAAAATTATAAATTTTATATTTTAACAAATATGTAGTACATTCGTATTTTAAATACTTTTGTATTCAAATATTATATTGGTCAAATTAGACCGTCATTGTCTAAAAACTGCAAGAACCATTTTGTGTATATATATATTTTGTACACCCTAATTGTGTGTCTGCAAGACAGCTTTTGAACGAATATATTAGCTTTGTAGATAGAGAATTAGCGGGGTGTACCGAAAATGTGTACAAAATATATGTACCAATTATATGTCGAAGTTTGTAGGACGGAGAAAATGCATACATTGTACCCGGAGTATATATTTTCCAATTTTATTATTTTAACTAATGTGTGCTTATTTCATTTGCTTGTTTTGTTTTTGAATGAATCCTAGAGTTCGACTTCAAGAGTGGAGAGCATAACGTGGTGGAAGTGTCAAGAGACTCATTCGAGACGTGCACCACCAACATAGCCATCAGCGCACCCATCACAGACGGACCGGCCCGCCTCACCCTCAACTCCACCGGCGATCACTTCTACATCTGCTCCGTCGGAAGCCACTGCCTGCTCGGACAGAAGCTGGCCATAACCGTCGTTTCTGACGCCACGACACCGCCGGCACCTAATAGCTGTACTCCTCCGTCTCCGCCTACTTCCCCTGCCTCCCCAGCACCGTCGCCATCTGTGCCTTCCCCGTCAAACCCGGCTACCGGGCCGTCCGATTCGACCGCTCCATCGGATGGGGCTACCGATCCTCCCAAGTCTGATAATCGTTCTTCTTCATCAGCTATGCTGCATGCTGGTTTGGCGCTTACTTGGGCTTCCATTGCATTAGCCTACATATATAGTTCATAATTATTGCCTTTTATTCAATAAGATCCATATTTTATTAAGATTCTTATACTAAGCATAAATATAAGAATCACAAATAAAATATGGATGAAATAAAAGGTTAGCCTAAAAGTTTTACAAGTACTTGAAAAATGGACGACGGGAGTGTGAACGACAATAAGATTTGAGACTTATCATTTCTACTTCAATTACACTTTGTTTATTTCACCCATTCAATTGTATTGTACCGAGTATAATAATAACATTAGTATGTAGAAGATAATTATCTAATTGAATTTGATGAGAGTGACAATTTTGATATTGTGTGTCATACAACTTTTACTTTATTTTATTAATACATATACTTTAAATTTAACTATTTAATAAAGAGAAAAATAATAAAAATACCCCAAATTTTGATGGGATGTGATATGAACACCTCAAACTTGCGTATGTAATGTGAATATCACAAACTTTATATAAAAAGTTATTTTATCACCATTGTCATGTATTATTTCTTTCAAAAATGTAAATTTATGAGGTTAAATTGCATAAAAGACAATTTGGCGAACCTTTTCAAGACGAAAGGAGTATAACATATAACGAGTGTATAGGTGTTGGCAGGAACTCATAGAATCACATTTTAGCAATATTTTCTTAACTCTGGAATTCTTTTTAGAAAATCTTGTCCGGATACACCGGCTCAGAATGGAGTGGCCGAATGAAAACATCGGCATTTACTTGAATTAGCCCGAACTATGATTATTGACGCCAATCTACCGAGTTCCTTTTGGGGTGATGCATTGTATACCTCTAATTTTATTATCAATCGGCTGCCCACTCCCATTCTGGGTAATCGGTCTCCGTTTCAGATGTTGTTTCATAAACCTCCTGATTATAGTTTTGTACGTGTTTTTGGTTGCGCCTGTTTTCCAAATATTATAGCTTCCTCCTCTAATAAACTTTCCCCACGTTTCATTCTTTGTGTTTTTCTGGGTTATGCTCCGGGGTACAAGGGTTATCGTTGTCTTGATCCCCAAACTGGACGTGTTTACGTCAGCCGGAATGTTATTCTTAACGAGTCGAGCTTTCCCTACACCACCTTGACACCTTCCCTCAACACCTCAACCTCACTCCTATAGCCCTGACCTTTCACCCGCACTAGTGCTGCCCACTTACCTCCATTGCACTCACTCGACCAATCCCCGGCCTCCACCCCTCATCCCAACTACGTCCCGTCTACACCTATCCCTAGTCCGCATGGCCAGTCCGTTCCCAGTCCGACCCCATCCGAAATTTCTTCCCATAGTTTGCCCGCTTCTAGTTCGACCCATAGATTGTCTGACCACCATCTCCCAAGTCCCAGTTCATCCACTTCCACGGCCAGCTCTGCACCCTCCAGCCCTTCGGATACCTCACCTACCTCCCCACCATGGATGGCTCAAAAAGTGCACCCTATGCGTACGAGAGTTAAAGATGGAATTTTTAAATCCAAAACCATTTTAATTGAAATGCTTTAGCTCTCCCGCATGATCCTACTTGTTAATCTCAAGCAAATAAATCTTTAGTGTAGCGGGCAGCAATGGCCGAAGAATTTAATGCTTTAATTGCTAATAAAACTTGGGATTTAGTGCCTAGCGACAAGACAAAAAATGTGGTTGGCTGTAAGTGGGTTTTTAAAACAAAATATAAATCTGACGGGTCTATTGAGCACCATAATGCGCGTTTGGTTGCTCAAGGGTTTAACCAACAAGCTGGAGTTGATTTTTCTGAAACCTTCAGTCCTGTAGTCAAACCTACTACTGTTCGTCTTGTCCTTTTAGTTGTTATTTCATTGGGGTGGACTATTCGTCAATTAGACGTGAAAAATGCTTTTCTCCATGGGCATCTGACTAAAGAGGTATATATGCGCCAGCCTCCTGGGTTCGTTCATCCTCATTTCCCTATGCATATATGCCGTCTTCGTAAGGCTCTTTATGGTCTGAAACAAGCGCCCAGAGCATGGTTCCATTGTTTTAGTGGTTTTCTTCTGTCCCTTGGATTTACTCAGAGTCGGTCAGACTCCTCCATGTTTATCATACGTTCTTTTTCTCACACTTTATACACTCTTATATGTTGATGATATTCTTATCACTGGTAGCTCGATGACATACATTCTTACAGTCAATTCATACAAGTTCTATCTAATCAGTTCGCCATGAAAGACCTCGATGACATACATTTTTCCTTGGCATTCAAGCACGCCGAACTCCTCATGGCCTTTTTCTTTCACAAAAAATACACTAATGATCTTCTCCGCCGGTTTCATCTTCACACAGTCATGTCAAACCAGTACGTACTGCTCTTCCTTCTCGCACCACTTTATCTCTTACTGATGGGGATTTACTTAGTGATGGTACTAAGTATCGTAACATGGTAGGTGCATTACAATATTTGACTATTACCCGACCAGATATTACTTATGCCGTTCACCTGGTTTCTCAGTTTGTGCATGCACCACGTACTATTCATCTAGTTGCTGTTAAAAGAACTTAAGGGTACTTACAGGGCACATCTTCTCACGGCTTGTGGCCCCATTCCAGGCAGATTATTTATGTTGTTGTTGCATATTCTGATGTTGATTGGGCTGAGTGTCCTGATACCTGCCGCTCCACTACAAGTTATGCTATTTTTCTTGGTGGAAACCTTGTGTCTTGGCGTTCTAAGAAACAATCCACTGTTTCTAAATCATCCACAAAAGCTGAATATCGTGTTGTTGCATACACGGTCCAAGATACTTTATTTATTCGTTCTCTTCTGTACGACATGGGTATTACACTTCCTACTCCAGTGCCATTATTTTTTGACAATGTTTCAGCATCATATCTTGCGGTGAACCCTATTCAGCACGACCGTAGTAAGCACATAAAGATCGACTATCATTTTGTTTGTGAAAGGGTGGCTCATGGTGATATCTCGGTCAAATACATTCCTACTCAATATCAGCTTGCCGATATTTTTACAAAGAACTTGTCTAGTCAGCTTTTTGAATTTTTGCGTTCCAATCTGCACGTGATTTCCCCCGCACAGATTAAGGGGGTGTAATAGCGTATTATAATTATTATTAGTATTGAGGACTCATATGTAATTACTTATCTCTTGTTTAATATAAATACACCACTAGGGCTACCACAATGGTAAGCCATTATTCTCCAATTGTATTATTTCACAAAAAGAGGTATCTGTTTACTTTTTACCACATAATTGATATGAATCATGTGCTGGATAATGAATCCTGGTTATTTGACCAAAACCTATTAGTGTTAAAAGCTATTAAGTAGGGAGATATGCCTCTAAGAGTACCCCTAGATACGACTGATTTTTTGGTACAGGTACACAATATCCCCTATGGATGTTCAAATCTGAGTACTGCTCGCAAAATTGGGAATCACTTGGGAAAATTCATTTCCTGGGATGATAAACAATTTGACAAAAAATGGGAAGACTATATGAGGGTTTGGGTGATGCTGGATGTGAGGAAACCCTTAAAAGTGGGAACAACTCTAAAAAAGGCAAAGGGGAAGGTTATTGGGTTGACTTCAAGTATGAGAAACTTCCTGGCTTTTGTTTTGCGTGCAGAGTCATAGGACATGCTGAAAAGTTTTGCCCCTTACTGTATGAAAAAGGGGATAAGGTTGCTGCGAAATCCGTTGAACCATGGCTGCTGGTGGGTGGAGGGCGACCTCGCCCTTCTATGGATAATAAATGGCTAGTGAGCGAAGGAGGGGTAGGAAGAGACCAAGCGGGGATGCAAAAAAACCTTAAAGAAAACAAGGAACAGGGTGAGAGTCACACAAAGGATAAGACTCGGGAGGAAGGAGATGAATCTAAGCTTGAGGATGTAAGAGGAAATAGCAGTGGAATGGGAGAACAGAAACGGAGGCGGACCTGGGAGGCACAGAAGTAGGAGCAAGAGCAATCAGAGGAGGACGTCATGGCTCTGGATGGAACAAAAAACAGGGTAGAGGCGGGCTGGAGCACTCAGGCCCGCCTAAACCTGTGAAGATCGTGTGTTTCTGGCATATTGAAGTTATTTTTGATTTTAAGTCGATTTTCCTTCTTGTTGGTTTTTAATTTGGACATCATATGTTTTTGTTAGCGTTTAACTTTTTTATGTAAGACTCTAGAACATTGGACAGGTGATGGGGAGCCTAGTTTGTAAGTCATTAGCTAAGGTAAGCCCAATTCAGGGTCAACAAATCTGGTTGCTTTTTTTGAGGTGGCAGGTTTTAAGTCTGGTTCAAGGGCGGATGGTAGACAGTGAGCTCTTTGTCTGGTTGTATCATGCTTACGTTCTTTCTTATCAATATAAGCCACCTTCTTAAAAAACATTCTTTACTTTTAAATCAAGCCCAATTACGTAGATGGCTCAATTAGAGATACTAATTGTCTTATTTGCAGCCTTGAATACAAGTGCAATTAGCAAAGTTGTTCACAAAAACAGGCAGACAAGGTGATGAACACATCATTAACTCGCAGAGGGCATTAGGATTGAGGTTTGTGTGATATACGTCTTGAACATTTTTTGCAGCCTTGAATAAAAGAGTAATAAAGATTAAAGCCTCAAGATCGTGTCTTGAGATTGAGATTGGTGATTTTTTAGCATCTAAAATATATGTGAGAATAATGGAAAAGAGTGCTCTCTAAAAAGCACTGACAGATATATTTATAATAAAAGAGTTTAATGTAAAGTACATAAATATCCCTATTATTAATTCTATTACACCCCTCAATCTGTGCGGGAGATACAACACGCAGGTTGGCTTTAAAAAATGAAAATGTTGACTAGGGAGACTTTTAGTAAAAATATCTGCCAGCTGTAGATGAGTATGGACATGCTGAACAATCAGATCTCCATGAGCAACTCGTTCACGAACAAAGTGATAATCAATCTATTTATGTTTGCTCCTGGCATGTTGAACCAGATTTGCAGTCAAGTAGGAAGCATAAATATTATCACACAATAAATGTACCGGTTCCGTGATCGGATATCCGAGCTCGAACAGAACAGACTGTATATGAAGTGTGTCTTGGACAGTGTAAGCAATCGCACGATATTCAGCTTCTGTAGATGACTTTGACACCGTAGGCTGCTTTTTACTCTTCCAAGAGACTAAGTTAGGACCCAAAAATACCGCAAAGCCTGTGGTGGATCAAGAGCTATCAGGACATCCAGCCTAATCAGCATCCGAATAAGCAACAACATACGTTGGCCGATTGGACTGCTGAATCCATGAGCCATGATCACGCGTTCCCTGTAAGTACCTGAAAATTCTAT